ACAAATTGGCAGCATCATCAGGAATTAAATGACATCTTGAGATCTGACAATACTATACAAATCACTTTGACCTCAGAGGTCTTTCTAAATTTGTCTGTGAGCAAAAGTTACTTGTGATCTGAGTCAAATCTGAAAGTATTATTTCAAGAGGAAAATATCTGCAGGCTGCGTCTACGCTGTTTCCCAATTCTGGATTTAACTTTTTATTCTTCAGTCATATTTTCAATTATTTAATGAATATTCAACATTAAGAACCCAGAAGTCCTCAGATCCAAAAAGGAAGTAATTTACACCCTAATATAATTAAAGCAGGGGAAACCAAACTGTATAAAATCTACTCATTTGGATAAATGGTTTAACAAGGCTTGAAAATATTACTGTGGCTGGGTCTGATGGTGCACACCTGTAACCCTAGCAGTTGGGAGGCTGACACAGAAAGATCACAAGTTCCAGGTTAGCCCAGCTACACAGTGAGACCCTGCCTCAAAAGCACAAACAAAACATTCTTGTACAAATATAATAGCATTAACATAATCCTGCACTCCAAAAAATAGCATGGTTTCCCTTCCCATGTGTGTGTGCATTGGTCCCACACAGCTCTGTCACACATTATTATCACAACGCAACAATTGCCTTCTTGGGTTCTTAGTGTCACAATTATTCCATGAACACAGGTCTGTAGTAATTGTTGTAGGCAGATGTGATTTCTTGCTTCTTGTTGAGATGTGTGGGGTGGGGCAGGGTTTTACTGTACTGGTAGCCTGGTCTTGAGCTTGTGGATTCAAGTGATCTTCCCACTTCAGCCTCCAGGTAGCGGGGACTACAGGTGTGCACCATTGTGCTCTGCAGGAATTATTTTAACGTTCGAAAAACTTTCGCCGAGCACCTGTGCCAGAAGTGCTCTGGCGACCTGATGATGTGCCACAGTACAGAAATTGCTGGATTTCTTGTATGAACTCACAAATTCTTCTTTACAAGAGCCTAGCAAGGGAGGCCTGCCTGCCTCCCCGGCTAGCTTAGCTTGGAACCAGAATTCTGCAGGTGCATGGTGGTGAAGAGAGGCAGTTGTCCTGTCCATGTCCTAAGCAAGATTCCTGCAATCTCAGCTCTGCCACATTTCTGTCTCTCAGTCATTGACTGTGGAGTAACCCAGGAGCCTTAAAAGAGAAGATTCGTCAGCCTGCTTGATGCTAGGAAAGCTGAAAGCATCAGGCTACTGCCAACACTGCTTTCCTCTCTGCCACATTAACTCACTGAAGGTCGGCCCCTCTAAAGTAAAAGCCACAGAAGACAATGCCACTCTTGTGAAGATCAGTACTTTCCCTAGTGGCAATGGATGGTTTTTGAGCTGCTGAAATATTACTGGAATGCAATTGCTTCCTGCTACTATTTAACGGACCCCTTAAAAATTTCAAAGCCTTTACTGTTCTGTAATGTTCTGCTGTGTCTTGAGCATGGCTTCCATGACTAAACATTTGTGAGAGAGATGATATGCTTGGCACTTGAATGAATTGACTTTTCAATACTCTGGTATTGAAATAAAGAGTTTTAGTTCTTATAAATTATGAATTTTAAACATAAGGCTTTATTGGAATGAGCTGGGTATACGTTCTTCATAAAGGCATCTAACTATTTACAAAATTTAGTCCTGGTTATGCGTTTGTACTGCTCAATGAGGCTCTGGGCTGTATTGTGCTGGTGTTGACGAAGACCTCAGCATTTTCTTGTCCTACTTAATGATGGTTTTCAGTAGACTTTGGTTACTATGTGCTAATGAGTGTCCTAATTTTTATTCTCTTCAGATACTTGAAGCCATCATTTTATACCAACGAAAGAAAAATAGAGCACTTAAAACTTATAAATGATGAATAAGTTCCTCTGGGACAACTGCGGCAGCATGTTTTCCAGTTCCACTGTCTGAACTGGCCTCAGCTTTCATTTCTCATGCAGTGCTCCACACGGCAATAGCAAGGCACTGCGTGGAAGAGGAGCCATTCGGGGACAAATGAAATTGTCTTATTCTGGGATGTTTCAGCTGTGGTTGGGATGTACCAAACCAAGATTGAGATATCCTAGTGGCCTCAACTCAGAGTGTGGAGTCTTTACTCTCCATGTAGAAATCAGGATAGCAGACAAACAGGGAATCATAGAAGCTGTGGGGCCCAGTAATAAACAAAGAAACTGAGACTTCTACAGAAATCCTCTAACAGAGTCCTTTCAAGACACTGCAGGGTGCAGTGAGACTTTGGGGCTCACACAAGTGATGGGAAAAGTCAAGAGTATCATATTAACAAGTTCCCTTACATTAAATGGAATACAACAACAATGCCTTGAGTTTCTGAACTTTTCACTAACCCTGAGTGGTTATTTCTCCCTTTGCTGTGATCAATGCACAGTGAAGACTGACTGCCTCACTCTCCTGACTAAAGTGTGCTTCTAAGTGTGGTTCATGGAACTCTCAGAAGAATCTCCTAATGATGGCAGATGCCCCTGTTTTTTAAAAAAAGTAACTATTATTGTGTGTGGAGGGGTACATGTGCCACCATGCACATGTGGAGGGCAGAGCTCAAACAATAGTCTGCAGTTAGTTCTCTCCCTCCACAGTGAGTTCTGGGAATCGAATTTAGTTTGTCAGGCTTGCATGGCAAGTGCTTTTACCCCGTGAGCCATCTTGCCCACCCCCGATGCTCCCTCTTCAGAATTACTTTCTTGATTAAATATTATATAATTCATAGTAATTGTTATGTGCAAATAAATGCAAATAATGCTGTACGTGTCCAAAATACTTGAGAGCTTATGAAATCAGCTTTCTCTTTTAGGCTGGGGAACTGTTTATCAAGCACGTGTCTTTAGATCACAGCTTCTTCACCTCATTCAATCCAGCATGTGAGAGGCTGTCCTGTACTTTTCAGGGTATTTAGTAACATCTATCCAGTAGATGCCCAGAGCACTCTCCCAAAGATGATAGGTGTCTAACATTGCCAAATGTCTCCTGATGGTTAGAGTCACTTTGAGGTGAGAATGTATACTTTAAGCCACTCAGTCTCTCCACTTTTTTTGACAGGTAATCCCAAGGCAAATTTTGTGACACTGCTCCCTATGTAAAAGCTCACTCTCTGGTTGTCTGAGGTAAAAGGAATGCTGTCTCCTTTGATCACAGAGACTCCCTAGTTGGAAGAACAGAACAACTGATTAGAAGAGAAGCAATGTCCTTCCCATTCTTGGGATGTGGGAAGCCTGTCATGCTTGGTGGGATATGGTAAGAGTCCTATGGGAAACATGACTAGAAAGGAGGACACACAAGATGTGTGTCAGGCGGGGGCTCTGGCAGTCAACAGTGATGACTGTAACCTGCATAGGAAAAGGACTAATCAGAGTTGGAGGATGATTCTGAGTGTGTGGGATCCGGAGTCTGTTGGGGTAGGTGGGGAATAACAAATAGGTGCGGTTGCTAGAGCTCCACTGACAGAAGGAAGAACAGCTGCCCCAGGGTGGAAAACTATAAGAAGAGGAAGAGGGAAGGTGTGCTGAATACCAAAAGTAATACAAGAAACATAAGTGTTTTGGGGACAAATAAGAGAATTAGTTCTTTGTTCCATTTTTAGATGACGAAGCTGTACTGAGTTTGTTAAGGAGGCTGCTAAATTTCTTCTTTTCACAGACTGCCAGTTAAAAGTAGACGATGAAATCTTTTAAAATGAAGATTTTTTTTAAAAAAGAACTCAAGGAACAAAAGGGTACTGTATTATGTGACTGAATACGTGCATGTGCGTGCAGCCACCTTGAGCCAGAGGTAATTACAAAATTATTGGTAAGATAAGGCCCCTTTGGTTACAGACCCAGTTTAAATTCTAGTTAAGATTTTTATTTTCTTTTTAATAAGCTACCAGGTACCACCATTCACCAACTTGTATTGCACTCGTAAGTGAAACGAAGAGATTTGAGCTGCTTTAGCTCATTAGGTTGTACTGATTTCTTACCCACATTTTGACCTTGGATCATAAACACGCTGCAATGTCTCTCAATGTCTCCATGCAACACTAAGAGTGGGAACAGGAGGATTGCTCATCCTGGAAAAGTCATAATAGTTTGAATGTTTGCTTTAATTCAAGAAACGTAATACAAGTTTTTAATAAAATTAGAAGTTTTGGTTGCAGAAGGGCAGAGGTCCTGTGCCCTCTAGGAGATCCATCCTGGTTCAGGACTCACTGGGGACTCAGAGCAAGCCTACAGGGTCTAGTACGGACCTTCCATTCTATGCAAGCATATTTGTCTACATAATCCAGTCTCAAAATGACCTGAGAAATTTCACAGGAAGGGTGAGACCAAGAAGAGAGGAGAGAGAATGAGGCAAGAAACAAGGAACAGGCGCGGAGAGGCGCTGAGGCAAAGCCCTTGTCGGTTATTTGGTGACCTTTTGGGATTACAGTGCAAACTGGTAGCTTCCATCTTTGGCTCTCATATATTGCAGAGGAGAAAAAAAATCCCCAAAGCATGTAAGGCAAAGGACACACCAAATACTTAAATTTGTTCTTAGGAAGAATGTTTTGTTCTATTGTCTGTGACACAACTGTTTGAAGCAGGAAAAATTGTGGTTTACCATTTTGAAGAAAGGAAAAAAATACACCAGGAGACTGAAATCCATTAAACTAAATACATTTGCTCTTGAGACGCCCGTGTCCTCCGGGTGCTCTAGTCAGTCATCTTGTGCTAGGGATTCAAAGGAACAAACACTCTGTCTGTCCTCAAGCTCACAGACCAGGAACCTAATGAATGCCAGTTAGAGGCCAACCTGGAGTAGTGAGACCTGGTCTCACACAAACCAAAAAGGAAAAGAAAAAAAAAGGAAGAGGAACAAGTTTGATGAACACAGAATTATCATGTAGTCAATTTTTCATGTCTGAGATTGGTTTTGCAGTCTAACTTCCAATCATTTAAAAAGTCTTGGCGTTTCCATTTAGTTTTATTTAAGTGTTTTTTTTTTTTTTTTTTTTAGCAGCTTCTTTTTTGTTGTTTTGTAGTTCTAATTCTCATAATTTTAAAAAGTTTTTGGTTTTCATTTTGTTTTTTTTTAAGTTTTTTTTTTTTTTTTTTTTTTAAGTGGTGCTAAGGATCAAACCCAGGGCCTTATACATGCTAAGCAAGATGTTAGTGCTGTACCTCTGAGTGATATCTCAGTCACTTCCCACCTGATTTTATTGAAGAAAGACACAGCAAGAATAGCCTTTCCATTAATCAACTATTCAAAAACCATTTTCCCCTTATTTGATATATACTGGGACTAGTTACCTTCCTTCCGTCCATTCCTCTCTCCTTCTCTCCCTTCCTCCCCCTCCCTTCCTTTTGCCAATGTCTTGCTACACAGCCCTAGCTGACCAAGAACTTGTGTTGCTCTTCCTGCCTCTGCTCCCCTAGTGCTGAGATTATAGTTACATGCCACCATGCCCAGGCATTTTATTGCATAAAAATCTTAAACACTGACCTTTCTGAATCATTTTTCATGTGACAAAGCCTCCATGACTAGAGCATGTATGAAACTTTTTTGGGGGTTGGGGATCAGAAACCCATCACCAGCAACTCTGACAAATCTGTGAAACAGCACTGACTCAAGTGGCAAAGACAGCCGATCATGAGCACTCGGTGGAAACATGTTCAGTGTCCTGGGGTTTATGCATACTTTGCTTGCTGCAAAAATCACAATCTTGCAGCCAGAAGAGAAACCAGTGAGGCCAAACATGCCACAAAAGCAAACAAAGCAAAGTGCTATGTAGAGCATTGGTTAAGAAATGCATTCATTTTTGAAATCAAGACATACAGTAGAAAGTTTTGAGTACTTTGAAAGCTGATCACATTACAGCAACAACTTAAAAAAAGGATATGCTTCTTGGAGTATCTTAGTAAGCCTACTTTTCTTTTGTTTGGGAGTGCCAGAAATATCAACTGTCTCATGAACCTTAAGAAAATATGAAATCAATGGGCTCTGACCTCGAAAGTCAAAGAGCACACGGTGAAATTCTGGACCAAAGCTCTTGTAATGTGACTGCAAGAGGAAGGAAAAGCCAGTCAGCGACCACATCTCTGTTTTCACAGAACTGTAAATAAACTTACACTATAAGTATAAATAAAATTGCAATTAGCTGTATTGAAACACGTAAGAGGAAATTCTATAAAGCACCTTCTTTTTTTAAAAGCATCTTCTTAATTAAAGGGATTTTCTAAACTCTCAATCTATGAGTATTTACAGAAAAACTTCTAGGATTTCTTTTTCTAATCTGCGCCATCCCATCCATCCATCCAGCCAACCATCTATCGTGACATCCATCCATCCATCCTTCCATCCATCCATCCATCCATCCATCCATCCCTTATTGATATATTTATATTTTTAGTAATCATTAGATAATAGGTTTCATTATGACATCTATATCACTGTAACTTGCTTATATTCACCCCTTGTTAGTTACTCTATCCCACCCCTCCCGCCCCTCATTACCCTATCCTGTCCCTCCCATATCCTTCCCCAATATCCCTCTTCTGCTTTTGTATCTCCCTCACACATGCATCTAGATCTCACATTTGAGAAAATGCGGTATTTTTCCTTCCTTTCTTATTGCCATCCCTTGTGCTCCCCTCTCTCCTCCTTTTAGATGTCTTCCTTCCTCCCTGATGGTCTCCCTCTTACTTTCATGTCTTTCATATATATATATTTGGGTTTGAATTTAGAGTCTACATATGACAAAACACGCAGTATTTGTCTGTCTGAGTCTGGCTTATTTTGATGTTTTCTTTTCTAGCCTTTTTGGTTTAATCATCAAGGCTGAGTCTAGGTCAATAGATTTTATTCAGTCTGAAGAACAGAAAGGAAAAAAAGGGAAGAAAACCAATGGATCCAGGAAAAGGGCAGGAAAAAGAAGTTGTGAAAAAACAATAGCCCAAATTTCCCCAGTTTTTTGAGAAATATGACCACAAAGTTCCACTGATTCTAAGTAGGATAAGATCCACACCTGAACACTCCATAGACAAGGTATTTAAAAAAAGACAGTGACTCTTTCTTGAGAAGCCTGTGCCCACTCCAGCCTGTGCTTACTCTTATTGAAGAAAAGAAATATACTCATGTATTTAATTGTAATTCTCTGTGTGTAAAATATCGATTCATGACTGATTCTGTATGTTAGGACATAGTACTCACCTTACAATGATTTTATGAATGCTTACTGAAGGTTATGTTAGAAAAGAAGTCAAAAGTAAACTGGAGAAAGCTATCATGAAAAATAAACACTCTAGTTAACTAGTGGAACACCTGTTTGTAACCACTTTGCTTGCTAAGGCACTGGCAATAAATTCTGAAGAATATCTTCCTGCCCCAAATATCTGCCTCTGCGAACATGCCTGCAGAAAGAATTTCCCCAAGTGATCTTGGGGCACATAAGCATCTGTTCTGGCAGTCATGTATTATAGGAGTGACTTTTATAACATGGGTATAATCTGGACTAATGACTTTTAATTAACTCTAGCAAAAACATGTGCACAAAAAACCTAGCACGAAAATGTCTTGAGACCAGGGTGGTTTCCTTGGCAACCTCAATTTTGGTCCTCCACCCAAAAAGATAATGAAAGTGAGTATGCTTGAGATGAACAAATCAAATCACTGAACAGGCACACCCATCTTCATTACACACAGTGAAGACTGGGAAGGAAGCACGGCCTGGGTGATTGAGATATTCTAGAACTAGGGATGAAAAGGCAGGGTGGTCAGTTAAGGTAAGGGTGGAGTCAAATTTTTAGTTTCCTAATTGAAGCTAGAGAAATCATTTTGCATAAAATCATGGGTGGGGCCTGACTTGAGGACAGTTCCTGGAACACAGTTGCAACAGCACGGTTCTAAGAGACATCCGAGGGAACGAATGTCCTCCAAGTTCAGGCCCATCCTTGAAAACTAAGTGTAAGAGTCAGGCTTTTTGCTCAGGTAACTGGAATGTTTGCATAGCAGTGCTTCAGCATAGGCCATAACTTGAACCCACCAATGTTGTAACCATTAAAGAACGATGTGAGGAGACCTATGAAAACTGTGAAGGAACTCAATCTGGGGCTCAAGTTTTTCAGGAGGAAACTCCTTTCAAATCTGACTGCATGAATAAACTTTCTGGATTTCTCCACGTGAGTCTCTTGGATACCTTCTCAGTGTATGGCAAGTCCTGTGCTTTAGTTTCCCATAACACTGTCCACAAGTGTTTCACCCTCTACATTAAAATTGATCCTTAATAAACTCCAACTTTACTTTAAAAATGAAATAAAAAGCAAAAAAAAAATCTTAGAAGCAACAAGAAAAGGCTCCAACTCATCACATATATGGGAATCTCAACAACAGTAACAACTGTCTTGCTATCATAACAGTGGAAGGTGGAGGTGGTGTGATGACAGTCAACATGCTTGGTGGGGGGTGGGGGGTCAATTCTTGTTGGCCAAGAATTCTATGTCAAACAAACAGCAACCAAAATAACTGACCTAGACTGAAACTTAAAAATATTGAGCAGAAAGAAACCTTTCCTTGTTTTGTTGATTATCTCAGGTATTTTGTCACAATGACAGAAAGTTAACTCAGACCAAAACTGGTTTAGGTTAAAAGAAACCCTGATTCATCTAGGGAGATGTATAGATCCTTTTTCTGATTCTGCTTTGGGTTATACAGGATGAACACCACATCTCTTTAAAATTCTAGAAATAGACATGTCTGTTAGTTTTCCGCAGTTATCATTATTAAATTGGAAAAGCTGACACCTCTATTTTTCTTCAAGATGAATCATGATTTTTAAGGGTTGTTTAGTCAGGCAGCAGTTGAAATAGCTGTTAAATGTAAATACAGCATTTCACGAAACCACAGCCGTTGTTTAGACACTTTAAAGGAGACCTCAAGTTATATGGAGAGTTTTTCTTGAGTCACACTGAATGGTAAGTTAACAGAAGCCCTGAATGCTTCCATTGTCCCAGAGAAGATAACCACAGAAATGTAAAATTCCACAAATAAAAAATTCATGGTCAAAAGTAAGCAGCATTGAACTTGATGAACAAAACTATCATATCAACATTGGGAGACTCACAATGGAAGAACTAAAAAGTTCCGAGGGTAGTTCAGTATCCTTTTCTCCCCTGTAAATTTATTAAAGGATAATTTCAGTGCTGAAAAAGGTCAACTTTGATTTTTGAAGAGTGGCAGGAATCCCCTGCCCCCAAAACAAAGGAAAAAGAATCTGTCTGTGCCTGAGTGTATGCACACCGCTCTGCCTGTCATGACCTTGCAGCACAGAGTACCCAGTCAGGATATGTGTGTTACCATGCATGGAAGATAAACAAGTTGGAGTGTAAAGGGAGACCAACCCAGGGTATAAAAGGCAGGGTCTTTCTTTGTTCAAGGCTCTGTTTTTGAGAACTCTCCCATGGAGCCAGGAGCTAGCATAATAAACTGCTTCCTGGAGAAAAGCACCTTGGTGTCTAGGGTCTCTGTACATAGCACCTCAACAAAGGAATCTGTGCTCTGCTCATGCTCACGTCTGATGTCACTGTCAGCCACCAGGACTCATGGCAGCATTCAGTGTTTGGACAACTGTGATGCTTAGAAAATTCTTTTTCTTGAGTTGAACTCTATCTCTCCACAGCTTTTACTCATTGGTAAAAGTTTTTGGAGCCACACAGAAATTGTCTAATTCTGATTGCCTATAGCAGCTCTCTCTCATAATAACTTTGGAAACAGTTACTATGGCTTCCAGGGTCTTTGCCTTACCAGAAGAAATGCCTTTAATTATTTTGGTCATTGCTTTTAAAAATAGCATTTATTTATTTGTGTGTGGGGAGGCACTCACAGAGGTCAGAGGACAATTTGTGTGACTCAGTTCTCTGTTTATCATGTGGGTCCCAGAGATCAAACTCAGGCCATGGGCTTGGCAACAAGTATCTTTACTTGCTGAGCCATCTTGCTGGCAGCTTTTTCCTCCCACCTTTAAATTAATATACAACAACTATACAAAATGATGGGATTCATTGTGACCCATTTCACATATACATAATTTAATCTGATCATTTTCTTCCCCCCTTAACCCACTCACTTTCCCTCCTCTTCCCTAATACTTCATCTTTTACATTCATGTATTTTTTCTAGATTCCAAGCGGGAGAAAACACATAGCACTTGCCTTTACCATAATCTCCACTCGCATGTATTTTTTTCCCCGAAAATGGTGTAATTTATTTTTCTTTACTGCTGAATGATAGCATTATATATACCATAACTTTTATCCTTTGCTTTTCTGATGGGCATTTAGACTGATTCCATGCTATTGTGAATATTGCCATGATAAACATGGTTTTGCAGGTATCACTACTGTATGCTGATTTAGGTTCCTTTAGCTATATACCCATGGGTGGTGTAGCTGGATCATAAGGGAGTTCTATTTTTACTTTTTTGGAAAACATCCAAACTGCTTTCAGTAGTTGTTGTACTGATCTACATGCCCACCAACAGTACACAGTGATCCTTTCCCCACCACCCTTACCATTTACTGTTTTGATGATAGAATTTTGGACTTCCTTTAAGCAATGTAGCTTCAGGGTCTTTCAATATCTTGATTGTATTTTGTTCAAAAGTTGTGCTTCTCTACAGTGTTGTTCCAATGCAAGTATCCCAATATAGATATACTACGCAAATTATTTCCTATCATAGAGTAGAACCCATATATTATGAACTAAATGTTTGTGCTCCCTCCTCTCAGTTTATATCCAGAAGCTCTAACCCCAAAGGTGAAGATATTTGGAGGTATGGATTTGTGAAGACAATTAGGTTCCTATGAGGTCATAATGAAAAACTAGAACTCTTTCTCTGCCATGTGAAGACACAACAAAAAGATGATCATCCTTCAAGGTATGTTAGCTTTCTGTCATAAAACACCTGAGGAAATCACCTTAATGTAAGGAAAAGTTATTTCAGCTCAAGGTTTCAGAGGCCTCCATCCATCATTTTGCTCCTCTGTTTCTGGGTTGAGGTGAGGTAGGAAGCATGTGGTGAAGCAAAGCTGGTCATTTCATGAAAGCTTGGAAGGAGAGGAGGAGGAGAAAGGAAGAGGGGAGGGAGGGAGGGAGGAAGGGAGGGAGGGAGGAAGGGAGGGAGGGAAGAAAGAAGGAAGGGAGGAAGGGAGGGAGGGAGGGAGGGAGGAAGGAAGGACCATTTCGACCCAGATTCAGTCCCTTTTAGGTCTACATGCTGATCCGATCCCTCTTCCAGAATTTCTCTCCTCCTAGATTTTTCACATTGTCCCCTGTGGTGGGCTGAATGAAAATGTCCCCCATAGGCTCCAAATGTTTGGACAGAAGGGAGGGAGGGAGGGAGGGATGGAGGGAGAGAGGGAGGGAGAGACCCTTCAAAGATACGTCCCCAGTGACCTACTCCCTCCACCTAGATCCCACCACCTCCAAACAGCACCAGCAGCTGGGGAACCAACATTCAACACACAGCCTTTTAGGGACATTCCAGATCCAAATCATAACAAGCCAGGACAAGAGCCCTCCCTGGAAAACCAAATTTGAATTCTCCATGATCTTGGGCATCCTCCTGTGAAAAATAAATTCTTGTTGCTTAAACTCTCTAGTCTATGGCTATTTAAAAATGGTGACATGAGATGTCCAAGGGGACAGATTCAACGACATAGAAATTTGGTTTACTACTACATGTGTTTCTTAAGCTGATACTGAGAAATGTTGGTTAGTCAGTTACAAATACATATTTCCTTATTTCCTAGTGTTTATTGAAGGTTAGATCTATGATTTCTGTGACCTTTTCTCTATTTCTAAATCTTACAATCTAAAAGAAAATGACCTGGCAATGTCATTTATCCAATCAGCTTCTACAGATTGCAATCTGTGTCCTGAATACTTATTAAATATTTAATGTAATAACAGGTTTTATAAAATTGGACAATTGTGCCAGGTGCGGTAGCCCATGTCTTTTATCCCAGCACTCAGGAGGCAGAGGTATGTGGATCTCTGTGAGACTGAAGCCAGCCTGGTGGACTACATAGCAAGCTCCAGACCAGCTGAAGCTCCAGGGAGACCCTGCCTCAAGAAAACGCTCAACATAATAAATAAATAAGAATAAATAATTGAATAATTAAAGACCAAAAATACATGAATACTAAAATTCAGAAAATGGATTTTATATAGTTTCTACCCCTAAGTAATGGTCCGACCTGACAGGATAAATTAAACAAAACATTGGTAATAAAAACTAATTTAAAATCTGATTATTATACAAATGAAGAGACCAAATTTAGAATTTAAGAGAATAAACTTCATTAAATCTTGCTTCAAGTAATACTGAGCAATGTGTCTGTGGCATCTCTACCTGCCAGAAGGTAGAACATGGAGCAAAGTTCTGGTTCTAAGGAACAACAGCATCTACATATGATCCATCAGTTATCTCAGAGGCACAACCTAAGGAGTAAAGACGGGCTAATCACTGTAGATATTCCTCTGAACGATCCCCTCAACTTTCATGTGCCAAGAAATGTATTAATCAATATTATTATATGAAACTAGTCAATTCTAGCTGTACTGAAAATTGAATAAAAAGAGTTTTAATAATCGGTTGTCCAAACCTTTGTTGCTAGTCTTGATAGTGTTGATTCTCCCTTGAGTACAAATGTTGCATATGCTCTCGGGTTCTTTAAAATATGAAAGTCTGTAGCTAAAACAGAAGATAAAATACTTTTTAAAATTCTGATTTTTTTTTTTCCTGCTTCACAAAAATGCATTTCCTCCTTCACCCCTGACACGTTTTTCTGGTAGTACATCCAAGTATCTCCAGATAGAGAAAAATATAGGTGGGAGGGAGTTAGATTATTGTTACAGCATTCCTCAATCAGAAGACATATTCTACTTCATAATAAACTGGGCTTTAGAGATGACAATTCATTCAATTTTATTATGCCATTATCCACAAAAACATTCTGTGAGCTAAGTAACATCTCCCACAGTTTACAGATTAGAAAACTAAAATGCAGGAGATTCCTAGACTTGCTTAAGTTACTGTCTGTTAAGGAACAGGGGTGGGGAGAGGGGAAGAGATGCTCACTGAGGGCTTTTGCATCTAAATGTGGAGTTCTTTCCATCCCCTCTAGTTAAATGCAGGGTCTAGTTAACATAGGTCTCTATGTCAGAGTCTACTTTTCAGTATTCTGACAACATGTCCAGGAAAGGAAAGACAAGATCTTTCCTTTTGGTCAGCATTAGTGAGGGTACAGAAGGAGTCTTTCTAGTCTTAGAAGGAAAAAGAGAGCCATGTAATTTAATCAATTTAATCAGCCATGCAATCAACCTGGAAGCATAAGCTACGTATTAAGTGTATCTCAACATACCACAGAGATCGACGGAAATGGAGAGGTTTGCCCTGGATTCTGGCACTGATCACTTGTCACCTGCTGAACCAGTCATTCTGATGTCACTGGCAAGCTGCTTAAGGGTTGAGGAAAGTCACTTGAACTAATTTGTGACATTATACAATAAGAAATATTAGATATTAGCCTGAAATTATAGAGACAGCCTTTAATCCCAGCACTTGGGAGGCAGAGGCAGGTGGATCTCTGTGAGTTCAAGGCCAGCCTAGTCTACATTTAATAGTATTAGAGGTTAAAGTATTGGTTACTCAAGAATTGACACTCTAAATTCTAATTCCAAGTCAGTTGGAATTAGGATGGGTAACAGAGATAAGAAATCAACTTGAAAAAAGTTTTTCTATTTTTTGTTTGTATTAACACAAGGTATCTTCATGTAAGCCAGGTTGTTCCTGAATTCTAAGAGTCTCTGGCTTCAGTCTCCCATGGGCTGAGATCACAATTCTGAGTTTCTCTTAAAAAAATAGTTACATGATAGTGATTTCTGGTCTTCTGTGACCAGAAACATTGACAACAAAGGAAGCTCTACATTAAGGTCACTTATGCAATGAGAGCTTACTGTGCAGATCACCTGACCTTGGTTTGAGAATTACTATGAAAAGAAAGTAATATATGACAATAGACACAAAAAGTAAAGTAAGAGCTACATGATGAAATAAAGAGATTTAAGAATAAAGTAGTCAAAGAAGAAGTTGCAAAAAGTTCATAAAAAATTTAAAAAT